ACAGATCTTAAAGCTGTCAAGAAACACTGCTCTAGAATATTGGATGCAACTGCTTTGAAGAAAGCCCACACAGTTAGTGCTCAACTTACAACCATTCATTTATCGACCATTCAAAATTATGACGGCACTGAAAAAAGTGACATATGACCAATCCTTGCACTTATCATTAACATCCCCAAGGTTACTTAATCAAAATTTGGATGCTTGGCATTTGGCATGTATATGTGATGGTTGCAGCATTCCAGGGTCATGTGATTACAATTTGTGACTTTCCCAGGTAGAATCCAACAAGCAAAGTCAATTGGGGAAGCCCAGTTTGTTTAATGACAGGATAATGCACATTAACAATTACAGTGATTCATTTAATTACCTTGCTTTGCAATGGAAATTCTGGTTCCAATTTTGATAGTAAGTCAATGACTACCTGTATTGTCTCTGCATGTGTATATGTGTATGTATGTATGTATGTATGTATATATGTATGTATGTGTATATATATATATATATACACACACACACACAAACATATACACATACACACACATATACACCTATACACATACATACATATACATATACACATAATACACACACACACACACACACACACACACACACACATATATACCATTCCTGAGAATGTAGCCACTTTAACTCTTACATACGTTGTTGTTTTTCTTCTGAATTCTAGGATTTTATGGAATAAATATTTAATAATTGACAGGATGTGGAACAAAAAATTAAAAAAGTGACCAGGTTGATACAGGTGTTAAAACACTTTGTCTGAAATGTTTTGAGTTCAAAATAGATTGTTCTATTGTTATTCTATTGTTTCAGAAGTTTGTTGATGTAAATAAATGGCCCTAATTCAAGATGAAGACATCTATTTTGTATCTGAAGCAGAACTGTTTCAAATTTGAAACACATCTGCAATGGTTCAGACTTGAAGTATAGTATTTCCATATTGCAACACAATGAATTTGAAATATTTTGCACGTCCCTATCTTTTGATGATACAAATGGATATGATATTGTAAATGCTGTATCCAAAATATTTTTTCCAGAGGAAAAAATTAAGGTATAAAGTTTGAACTAGAAAATTAGTGTTTTAATTTTTTATGATGTGCATGCACCTACCACAACAAGATTTCTTTAATTTTTACTAACTTTTTACATGATTTATTGAAAACTTTTTTCATTAGGAATGGCATATAAAGAAAGAGTTTTCAGAAAGATAGCTGTATTAAATTTTCTGAAGAGAAAACAATGAGAAAACTTATGTCAGCTTAGAGCTTGCTATCAGTGGTGGGATTCAGATATGTGAACAACCGATTCTCTGTGTGGGTGCTGCTTCCAGAAGTCCATTCTGAGCCTGGGCAAAAAAAAATTGCTACCTGTTCTGCCAAAGTGGTGCAAACTGGCTGAATCCCACCACTGTCTACTATATTCATTACTACCTAAGCTTCATTAGTCTATTTCAGCAGGTGAGAGCTGACTGCTGATTATGAGTTAGTATGTTTTCACTGTAGCATATCAGATTTTTATAAAAAAATATACAGTCCTGCCCAACTGGATATCTGAGTGCTTCCCCTTACGAAGAGGATAGCTAGATTGCGTTTAACAGTTGACATCATTCCAGAAAACCTGCAATTCCACAAATGCTGTTCTAGGAATTACTTGAAGGAGTTGAGCTTATCATGTGACTATATGCATGGGTATGTGTTTCACTGTAGTGTAATTATTTGGATAAATAAGACATGGCCATGACTAACTATTCCTATTGATTTGGATGAAATTGAAATATTACCAATTTGTCCTATACTGGAGATGTTAGTTGTTAATATATGATTTTTTAATATGGTCACCTCTATTTCTTAACTGCAAATTCTTCAGGATTACCACCAATTCTATAATATTTCATGTGCAAATAAATTACTTCCATACTAATTATTAAAACATTTGGAGTCAAATCATATCCATGGGTCAAAACTTTTAATAATGAAAATCAAAATTCTGGAAAACTGGTATTTATTTATACTTCATTTTTCAAGATGATAAAATGGTTGATCCATAAATTAAGACAAATGTGATGAGGATAAAATGAACATGCATAGATATTTTTTCCATATTTTTTTACAATGTGTGATGGTTAATGTGGGATCACATAACAAACCAAAAATAGACTTTGTGTAATTTAAACTGGAGAATAAAATCATGGTTCTAAACCATTGTTTGAACAGTAATAAAAATGGATTGCCAATATAAAATAAAAAGAATTAGCTTTAAGAATTAATCAAATTTACACAAAGTCAAGTAGGTGAAAGGAAATCATTTGAGAAAAAAAATCTTTATTTGTGAAAGGAATATATAAATTTGTATTAGGCAAAATAGGAAACATACAAACAAAATATTTTACAACACAAACAAGAAATCACCAAAAGTGTAAATTATAATAAGTACAATAGATTTTAAATGTGACAATTAGCAATCAAAAATAAAATTTCTTAAATCCAGTTTTCCCTTTTCACTGGTTTCAGGTAATTTCTCAAAAATTTAAATAACATGGAAATCAGTTGGCTAGAATGAGGTAAATTTTCACAACTGCATTATAAAAATACTTTTCTTTCTTTCTTTCTTTCTTTCTTTCTTTCTTTCTTTCTTTCTTTCTTTCTTTCTCTTTCACATGTATTTTTGAAACATTTTATAGAAAAATGTATTCAGGTTCTTATCCAAATAAAATATAGTACAAAAATGCACTTTTTCTGTCTCTCTGTGCTAAAAGACTGTATGAATAAAAAGAAACAAAAATGTGTAGGATCAGAACATACTTTATATGCTACTTGATGTTATTAACAGATAACATAACAATAGATTATCAGCTTCTATCCCCTTCTCTTCCTGTAGCACATATTTAAGAAGTTGAATGGCGGAGGAGATCCACCTATATGGTGGAGTTCTCTGTTTTAGACTTAGTAAATGAAACTGTTTGTGGGAAGCCAGATACACATATTGAGAAGTGTGGGGAATAGCACCAAATAAACAACCAAAAGTCTAAAGAAAATAATAAGCCAATATATGTCACTGGAAAGAGCAACAGTTGTGCTATAGGTATATAGTTTAGAATTTAGAACTGTTTCACAGATTATTATTTTCTTATCCTGGGTATTCTCCCTGCGAAAGAAACTCATATATGCCTTTTTTTGCTGTACTTACATATAATGAATTAGGTAAATATCTACATTTGTCACAAGAAATAACTTGGAAGCATATAAATATTATACTATGAGTTTCGTCCAGTGTAAGAAAATAATCAATTATAAACATTTTATTTGCCTGTCTACTCTATTTTATGTGTAAAGGCATATACATTTATATATCCACACTCACATGAAAAATGTTAGTCTGTACATATTGCAAAATTTTATAATGGATTTTTAAAAATAAGGTTAAAATGTAAATACTACAAGCTTATATTAGAATAATATTCTTCATTTGGCAAAACACCTTTGTTAGAAAGTATACCGAATCTTAAAATACTTTAAAATATAAACAATATAACAGAAAATTCACTCCAGGTCAATCCTGAATAATGCATAAGGGGATGTAAATACAACGAGTCTTTAGCTAAAGAGAAGTAAACTACAAGAGAATAAACATATCAAAAGGAAATAGAAAAGGAAATGTTTCACTGGAAAACTTCCATAACAATTTCCCTATTCACCGTGCTGTTTTGTCTTAACATAAATCAACTTATAGAGTACTCTTTACAAAACAGAGAATAAAACACAAGCTTCTGCTTCTCTTTGCTCTGCTCTTACATTCCAAATGCATGAATTACTTGGACTTCCTGTTTCCACAAGGCACTTCTGTCTACCTCCACCACCATTATTATTTTTCAGGAAAAATGAAGTGACTGACATAACTCTGAGTTAAATCAGCAACTGTTTGTACTGCATATCAAGTTATTTCAATGATATAGCATTTGAAAGGACCACAATCTTTTTGGAAGCACAGTTACCTACAAATGCATGCATGCCTTAGGGAAAAAAAATCCTTTTTGGCATATTTAAACACTATGTATTTTTATTCATAGTCTTAAAAAATCCCAATTATTTTGTTGTTTTATCATATGTTATAATTCACATATAACTAGGAATCTGAATAATCCCAGAATACAAAGAATAAAGTGTATGCAGAAAATATTGACAGTCATTAGCATGTAAACATCTCTGCTACAGTGTGTACTATTATCATTTGAGAACAAGTCATCTAATGAGAAAAGATATAATAACTTGAAAGTTAGATTCCTTGCTACAAATACCTAAAAATGGAAGAAAAAATAATGCTTCTTTTTAAAAATCCACATAAAATTAATGAAAATGGAGAGGAAAAAATCATTTTAAAAAGTACATTCAATTTTTTGCATTAACTTTCTACATTGGTTCCCTCATATTATATACAAAGCTCAGATCACTGGTATTTGGACCGGTATTTGTGTAACAAAGGAAAGAATCTACTCCCTTTAACAGTGTGTAGGACTACTACTCTACTGTACATATACAAAGTGAATAAATTGTATATTAAGCAATATCAAAAAAGGCTTAGAGATAGGCAAGAGTGAGTATGAAAAAGCATAGTTCTCAGGTTTGGTCAGTAGTCACTGATCTCCACAGAAAGTTTATACAACAATGAGTTCCTTTCCGCTAGATCTAATGTGGCAGAATCCACTATAATTAATATGATTTCTACTAATTACTAAAAGGTATATATACAACAGCAAGTGTTCTTTAATTTAACAAGCCCTTTTTCACTATACTTAAAGTATGGGCACATCTATGTTCTTAATTATGCTGAATGTTAAATTGCATAACTCTTTGGGATTCTGAGGATTGGAAAAAATAATAAACATTCTCTTTATCAAGAATTTCAAAATGTTAACATCATTGTACTCAAATAATCACTTTAATGATAAAATCTGGAGCTAAATCTGTGCCTATTACCTGTTGCATAAAAGCAGACTGCTCCCCAGATTCCATTTGCTGATTTTGAATATCGTCATCACTGTCCTTTGGTTCCTTTTTCACCTTCACAGCTCCAAAAGATTGTCCCAACTTGTGCAAAGAAATGTTACTGCTGTCATCCCTAATGCTGACATCAACAGGGGCAGTTCCTTCTTCCTGCATCAAATGCTCTCCTTGCAGTTCTTCCTCAGCTTCTTCCAAACTGCCAGGTTGTTTTAATTGTTCTATGGACTTAGAAAGTATCTGAAATACAAAATAGGAATGTGGTAAAAGGAGTAAACAGAAAAATATAAAGATGAAAAGCCACTTGGCTCAATTCTTTACAATGGGATTATATGAGCAATTTGTAGCACAATAATTTCAAAAGAATAAACAGCTTTAGATTTCTCAAATATAAAGAACTTAATTTGCAGTGAACAATAAAACTGAAACTTGTATATTACAGAAAAATACACATTTTGCATTTGCTGCATAGAAAAAACTACTGTATAGTAGAAAAACTGTACAATAATGTATATATGAGAAGTCCATTACTATATATATATATATATATATATATATATATATATATATATATATATATATATATAGTATTATATTCACATACTTCTTAAACCAAGTTCATAAACAACAAGACTAAATGGAATTTGTCAACTAAACATATGTATGTAACAGATTCATTTTGTTCAAGTTTTTACTTTTAAATATAGCATTTTCTGTAATACGTGGTATTCTACTCCAAGGAGAAAAACATTAGCTGTAGGATCATTAAATTATGAGCTTAAAATTGCATAGTCTCATCACTGCTTATCAGACATTAAAGATTTAGAAATATAATGTAAAATAAACTTGGTAGTTGTGTTTTCAAAGTCTAAATGTTAATTTTATTTTAAATATACTATATTTATTAGATGTATATAATAAATATAGTAGCTTTAAAATACAGTGTAGAGTTTTTCAGTTTTTCAGTCTCTATACTTTACAGACAAATGTGTAGAGACAACATTGGAGAGTAATGGGAAAGGATTAATTAGTGTGTGTTTGATTAACATCATGTTAGATAAATTTCAACACCTTTTGTAACCACTCTAAAAGAGAAAACAGATAATTATTTTTCTATTTATACTTGGCTAACTTTTTCCTAATTAGCAATATTTATATAAATGTTCCATTAACTGTCTTGAATTTTATCAGAACACTCCCATAGTTTTCAGATTGCATCACTGTCATTTCTTAAATGACAGCAAACTGACTTTGGCTTTTATTTACTTTATAAATTTTATATTATATTTACATTATAAGTGAACCCTTTGCAAAGTTGACAATCTTGGACTATTAGTATTTGCCTTTACTAGCTGAAAATATATATGATTGAATAAATGAAGAAGAAAATGCAAGAAGAAAATTAAAAGACTCATAATAATTTCAATCGGGATTCCAGATTTGCTTCTGAAAACAACAGCACATTTGGGTAAGAGCAAGGAATAGCAGCATATTTATCTCTTCTAGTGTGATAATAAAACTCAAGATAGAAGCTGTACAAGGAAACACACATTTTCCAATTGCTTCCAAAACTACTGCAATGGATCAAATATGTAAAGGAACTAGCTGCCGAATTTCAGGATGGACAAGATATTCAGACATTTGAAACATCTGTTGCTGAGCCACCAGAAACGGTTGCTGCTGAGTGGCCAGTTGAAAAATACAAGCTAAAACATCTGTGTGACAGATAATCATCTACAGCTACATGAGTCACTGATGCTGGACCATCTGTAACACATTCGATATGCCAATGCTCGGCATCAGGTGGGTTACCCTTAAAGAGAATCCAAGACAGAATGAGATCCAGATTACAGCGCAGTTAGGAAACATATTTATTTCCTCACTGTACTCCTTTTGCATGCTTTCAAGTTCAAAGCGAGATCTTTTTTTCTTCTTCTGTTATGCATTATAATGCTATTCTTGCAGACCTGATAAGGCAGATGTGCAACCCTCATATGACATCTGGCATAGTTCACATAAAAAGCACATTTACAGCAACTTTAGTACTGATATATGAAATAAATTCCAAGCTTTTTTGTAAACCTACATAAAAATATTTATATATGCAAGTGAATTTTCAGAATGTGCACATATAATATACTCTCCCATATAGAGAAAGTAGGTACTAATGTCTGTTTCACCAACTCCACAGTAATATTTCTCCAAGAACAGTTGTGTGTTCTGAAGAAATTTAGATCATTTTTCTGCTCAAATATCCTTCATTGGATTTTTTTTTAAATAATATTTCTGCTTCACCAAATGTAACTAACCACTTCCTTTCCATGAATTGTCACAAGATGTCTGTAGCTCCCAATCAGAAATTCAGGGGGAGGAACTCATATGGCTGCAATAGGAAGCAATTGGAGATCAGCTTCATTTTTGCAGAAGTGGCCAGGAATCACGGATGCTTTTATTTCTCTCCTAGCAGCTGTCAAGGACTGAGAAACTGACAACTAAAGCAAGCACAAAGAAAAAAGTGGAAAAAACCTTTCAGAATCAAGAGTGTAAAGAGGCCAACCAAGCCATTGGACAGTTTCTAGGAAAGAAAAAAAACCCCTACATTCATAAGACAGAGCAGTGTTTCTTAATCTTGGAAACTCCAAAAGATGTGTGAAATTGTCAATCAGGATGGAAGTCTACATGCCTTCAATTTGCCTGATATGACTAATAGCGGGACATAGCAGGTGACGGGCTAGGTCAGGTTATTGGCATCAGCTCCTACTGAATAATACCCCAAATGCTGTCCGCTTACACAATTTTAAGATATGTTTGACAGTTAAGCATAAAGCATAGAAATTTTAGCATGTATATTTTGAGGCATTCAGTAAAAAGGAAAAAAATCATGACCCTCCGAATGATTTTAAAAATCATCATCAGCAGCAGCATTTGAAGTAGGATTGGCAATGTAAAGAATATACTTGTTTTCATGTACAATATCTGCAAATACACAGATACAGGTTATACAAGGTTTATTATTTAAATCTTACTCAACATACAGAACAGATACAAACAACATACAAAGATTTTTCTTAACAGATGCCCAAAAGAAAAAACCCTCCTAAACACTATAAGAGGCCAATGTTTTATTGTTTGATATTTGTGTTGTGTGTACTAGTACATATGTAGCTAAGTACTGATAAACACTCTCTTAACACTGAAGTGAGAAAATTTAAAATGGTACACTGAATCAGCAAACAATAAAGATCTTTGCATCTTCAAAAATGATTTGGAATAAAGAAGCTGCACCTTCTGCAAACACACTTAGCACCACTTATTAAAGCTACACAACTTTTTTCAGGCTTCAATATATCCTGAAAAAAATATGCAAAGTTGAATCTTGGTTAAACTGAAAATGTCAGGCAACATCAATAAATAAGTGCTGTGCCCATTATCATGTAAAGTCTGAAGTACTCTTTATCAATCATTTCTGAAGCAATCACAGCCCTGGTAATATCCAATTTAGCAATTAAATACACATTCTTCTAGTTGTAGACATTAGGCATTAGCTCTTAACACTTTTTAACACTAATACAGACAGTTCAATACACAACATATCCAACATTTGGAACAAGAATCAAAATTTTTTCATCTATTATATTTTTCACCTATTATATGTTTGGGGAAGGTGAATTGAAAATGCCACTCATAAGCAATTTAGCGCGCGCGCGCACACACACACACACACACACACTCCCATCACACATATTCTCCTCTCTACATATTTCTACATTTGGAAACCATATTTTTATCCATCCCACATATACTTAAATTCATACTTTGCTTCTTGTTCTTTATTTATAACCTCATAATATGAATATTACATTATTTTTAAACAATCACTCAAATAGTTTTAGGTATATTATAATTTATAATGTTCCATATATCTATTATATAATAATTTAAAATTATATGAAGTTTATTTCTGTTATTTCTTTTGAATAATTTTTTAACAAGAAAAATGTGAAAAAATAGAATCAATAGAACAGATAATATGCAATCAAGCCAGATTTAAGGAATTTGGAATCTTATTCATCATCTTAATCTGAATTATTTTAATATTTTTAATTGAAAAGAAGTAGACATTGCCTTTGAAATGAATAGATTAAAATATGCAATTGTACATATTGAAATTTAATCCTTAAAAAGAAGTTTTACTACCTATTTTATGTGGGTAGAAAATTGGTGTTTAACCTGAATTTCAATAAAGTAATCATTTATTTAAAAGTCCAAATATATAAGGATTATATAAAGAAATCCTAATGTACAAGCTATTTGCTTATAGTCCCCTGATCTAGAAAGATATTTCTTCAATTAAGAATGTATAGTCTATTTGAATTAATGACTAGATTAAAATTTATATCTCTTTCTTCACAAACCAGTGTTTGCAAATTATTAAAATGCAAAAGAAATAAGCTTCTAATAAGTAATACCTGAACAATTTCATTTTTATTTTTTTGTATCCCAGAAATTACAAGAAATTTGCATGTCCATCTAACTTGGGGGGGGGAGGGGAGCAAGCAGTTTTAGTCAACATGAAAATCTAAGTAAACTGGCTATTGAATGTAGTACAGTACAGTACATAAATAAACATTCCCAAACTTTTCTCCCAAGTGTTAGCCTTCATAAAATATACACTTTCCTGCTGTTCTTGAGATTAAATAGCCATGTAGATATTCAAAGGACAAAAGAACCTACTAATAGGAGTAAAATAAAGGACAGTAGAGATAAATTAGGCTGCATGCTCTCTGCAAAGTACTCCAAAAAACATGACATAAATTCCCAAGGGACATAATTTATACTAGTCAGTTTAGCTAAAAGCAATATTATGTACAGATCCATCCATGCATTTAATCATTTCTGGCAGTAAGCAGCTGTTTATTTAAATAATGAAAACATATAGATTTTCCTTCTTTCAACCTGAATAAAAACAACTTAGAGAAATTATCTTCATTAAGTAAAAATTAATATTTTATAAAAAAATAAGCAAATTTGCTATAATAACTCAAAATATCTAGTGTAGATAATTAAGAAACATGTGAATTATAAAATGGAACAATTATTTATTGATAATCTTTACAATTAAGAATTCTATTCCACCTGGCAAGATTGCAGTTCATTGCAAGGATTAGGAATCTGCCATATAATTCTAAGGCTTTGGGATAGCTTTACAGATATAAATGTTGTTACAATCTTGAGGATGG